TACAGGGTGAGCTCGGAGGAAAAAAAATTATATGAACTTGTGACATTATTTTCTCATTATCTATACAAATCCGAGAGATTGCCCACCATTTCCGGGACACCCTGTATATGATGCAATCCAAGCTTATGTTCGGCCCAACAATTTCCCTCCTACATGTGGATATGTTTACAATGGAAAATACAATGCGCGCCTTAGATGATTTAAATGTATTAAATTCAGTTGTTTCTTTTTAGTGAATTAATATCGAATATGTAGGTTGGTCTTCAGCAGCGATAGCTCATACGTTGTTCCTGATAAACCATAATATGTCATATTTATAAAACTGTCATTACAGAAACCAAAACTGTGTTGTGGATTTCGGAGTAATATACGTTTTAGTATATATGTTTTAGTAGTATTGCTTCTGAAATAAAAAAATTAGATTATTTTTGTTTGATGTGTATTTGTTACCGACCCCTGAATCAGCTATCACATACTGAATGATATTCACTTGTCGAATAGTCCAAATGGTGTGCCTTTGATACCAAAAATATAGACATGCGAAAGATTAGAAGAAAATCAATTACTTAATTATTATTAATTCGATTTAAATTGTTACAAAGTAAAACTAGAAACATTTTGCTCTTCAGCTTAAGATGCTGTAAATGTAAATCGATTCAAATAAGTTCTCTCTTGGAGGCAATCCCTGTTTAATCAGGTTTACCTTCACCTATTGTGGGTCGTAAGACTGATTTGTAGTTGCGCGGTGGAAACTGCAACGATGGGTCATAAAACGAACTTAAAATAGTTTAGGTTGATGAGAAGTCGAAGCTATACCCGTTTTATATTTGGGCTTATGCTCGCACTACTTGGAAATTTATTTTATAACTATGCAAAGCTCTAATGTATGTTCGAAATATTCGAATTCGAATGTAGGGGTTAGTAAACATGAAATGTCAAATGATTTGCCATTGATCAATAAGCACCCTGGCAGAGTCGCATTTGAGAATTTTGACAATATTATTCATTTATGACAATATTCGAACTAAAATTGGTTAATTTGGTGCCACAAATACACTAAATAAAAATAAATCAGAGTAAATGTCCTCATTTTTGAGCCAACCCCTCATTTCATCACATATGCGCTTTTTATTATACTCATTGCTGCATTATAAGGTAATCTCGAGTAGTGACTGGATAGGTGTGCGAGGTTCTGGTGAAAATTCTATTTAATCGAATGATTTAGGTACTATAATAACAGCGACACAAAAGAAAAGAAAAGGGGCCTGTTCCAGAGACATAGACTCCTGTATCGTCATTTTTTTTCACGCGTTAAATCCGAATCCAGAGCCATAATTGCTTCATCATACTCCATTTTTCTTTAATCCCGAAACACCGTCCTTAAATACAGAAGATATGGAAAATCACGCTTTGGGAGATCAGCATTAGATATAATTGTAGAAACCGACGGAAAATGACTGCAGTGCCATATTTTATGTATTTTGCGGCGCTAAATCTTTATCTGGATTCAGAATTGATCCATCACCCTCTCTCCTATCCCCCCCTTCCCCCCGCTTTTTTAAAATCACTGAGAAACCACCCTTATGGAAAATCCAACTAAGGAGGTATAGCATTTGGAACAAACGTAAAAAGAAAAAGAGATAGGACCATATATATGTACTTTGACCGAATTCGAAGTCAGAATCACTGCATCCGCCAATATTTTTATACGTGCAAATAATCCTAAAATTTATGAAATTCCTTCCCAAAGATAGACAGAACTTCAGCAATTTGATGGCGGCATAGAGAAGAAGATGTGAACATCGTTTCCAGATAGGAAGTGCACTGAAAGAAATGCGTTTTATTCTTTATTAGAATTCTATATACCATTATAAGACCATTGTATACTATATGTGACAGTTAAACAGGTGAATATTGGATATAAAACGCGTATTGCTAGCACAGTATACAACGTTTTTTATACCCTTTACGAAATAATAGCAATAACTGTTATTAAAGTGTTCCATATCGTTATTAGAACATCTAGTACTGGTTTATAAGTTTTATAATAATAATAAATGTATTAAACTGTTGTATCTCTGTATGAGTTAAAAACATATGTCATTAAGTTTTCAGAAATTTTATTGGATAACTGTAATTACAAGCTAAGGTTCAAATGTAAACATACATAAAACATACTTTTAAGCACTAAAAATGATGACAAATCGCTCCCAAAACTGTCCAGTTTATTTTCTTAGCAACGATGCACCCGTATTTTCTTGTATTACATGAGAATTTGCACTATAACTCTTCCACCTTAAGAATGAAGCACCCCAGAAAGGTTGAGCTTCTTTCCATATAATTTTATTTCCTCTGGTTGATTGACTTTATACCCATGCTTTTCTTTGTCACCGTTAACCTTCTGTTCCTCCATCTTATGTAAAACTTAACATCAGCGATTTCTAATAGGATCTACAAAATAATAATTTTTAAGATTTAGACAAGATTTACATTTGAAAAAACAAAACAATTACAAGCCATAAAACAGTTAGATAATAATTTTCCATTTCCATTTGTCCCACAAAACATGTGCATTTTCATCAAACTAAACGTGTGTAAGTCGATGCACAGCGGACTGTCGGAAATTTTACGATTGTTGTATTTTCTCTTCTTGAGTAAAGATAATAAAGACGTTGTGGTTTTATGTGTTTATTTTGACAATGATTGAACATCTATGGACAATAAAAGTGGACTGTATAAGATAGTTGAGTACCGTTCTGCTTCATGCATAGCATGCTACTGAAATCTTACAGGGATCAGAGATGAGCTCGTGCGGCGAACCCTAAATCAGCGGCTGGAATAGCCAGGTTTCTTATTGAGTCGGCGCACTTCGCTCTCGGGTCTGACATATGATTATTATTACAAGACTATGAATATAACCTAACAACGATCATAACCGATTATGCACCGAGAGGTGACGATCACTTAACCATTATAAGATGCGTTTTACACGTTAAAAACGGAAACATATTCAGTATAAGAACGAATAATTCTGTTAATACAATTGTTATATACAAATTCGGATACTGGTCTTTATACAACAAATCTTCCCTACTATACAATTGGAATATAAAGTCTTTAACACCTAATAATGTATAAGTAATTCATTATAACCTTTATTTCATAGATGTATAAGGTGTATTAAGCAGCTTCCAGTTAAACTGATTGAATAGTGAGTATGGAGATGATTGCTTTTTTTAATAAAAGTTGTATATTGGTTATAAAAGTTTTAATATGCGCTATACACATTATTCTAGATAAACAGTTTAATAAGCCCATTTCTTTCAGTGTGATATTTCTTTTACTCCTTTTTTCATTTTGTAACGAACTCCTTTGTCTTCAAACGATCTATGCCAAAGCTTTCTTTTTCTTTTGTATGTTTTCGGCTCGTTTTTCCTTTTAAGCATCCAACAGAAATCTACCATCATATTTCCTTAATATATTGGTGAATCTGTTCATCTTGTCCATCGCTGTAGTCTCCGATGGTCTCCGCAAAGTAGTCAAGATGAGTGTTATTCAATTTTGAAAAAATCATTTTTTTTTTTGCTGACCAAGAGCTATCCTTCCACCAAGTTTCATAAAAAGATATTTGTTTTTGAAAGAGATGCAGCTATTTGAAAAAATTGCGATTTTTACCGGTTTTTTGCAATAACTAATTAATTAATTTATCGATCAAAACCGGTTTGAGCTTATTCGATCCGTATTAAAAATTCCTACAACTTTTGTTTGAAACATTTTTTTCTAAATTGTTTAGTTTTTTTTATAAATAAAAAAACAGTTTTTTGCGAAATTTGGACGCCATTTTGAAAATGAATCCCAACAATTCAGGTGGGATAAAGTAGTACACTCAATTATACAGAATTTTTCCTAATTCTTACATATTTTCAATTACTGAACTATTTTTTGGCACCTGAAAAAGTAAGTAATTTGATTGGACTATGTCTAGTAAATGCTATTTCAAGTTCATCAGGCTACTAGCACTTTGTAAAGTATTGTAATATGGGTGGCAAGTAAAAATATTTTTTTGTACCTACCTGAACCGCTCATTTGATCAAAATTCTACAAGAGGCCCAAAATCTTCCAAATAGTATCACGTATCAAAATAAAAATAGTTGTCATTATTGCCCGAAAGAGAAAAAAGTTGTGAGCGGATATTATCACCATACATCAATTTTGTAGGAGTTGTAAGTTTTAAAAAACACTCTGTATGACACCAAAATGTGTAGATCGGAAGCAAAAGTTGACTCCCCAAAAATAATCAAAATCGATTAATACGTATTTGAGTTATTTACAAAATTCAAAAAGTTTTCACCAACTTTGAGGCCATCTAGCGGCCAAACGAAGCGATTTCGGGTATAGGTGAATTACCCTAGATCTGCCTATTTTGAGTCCACGAATCTGTGTGTACACGTTATTCTGGGACACCCTGTATAAACAATAACTTTTTTGAAAAGTAATACAAGCTGTAACCTTTCTAGTGGAATTAGGTTCATAATCACACATTTTTAAGGTTTCTTTTTTTTTGAACTTTTCAATAATCTTAAGGAATTATTTCCGTGCCTAAGTGCGTCAAAACAGACACACAAATTAAATGCTAATCACTAAAGGCATAAATTAACGTTAAATTTATCGCTATTATTAAGCTTAATCATCCTTTGCTAAACACCATCAATAAGGAAATTAACGACTTTTACCAGTTTCTTCACCAAATTTCCAGCAAGCGGCTCTATTCGCCTATGTAAAACAGGACGGACCTTCTCGAAACTAACCAGACCATTACGAAAGTACAAAACGAGATTTTGAGTCTGAGGGCTGTTCTGTCCTATGATATCCCGAATTCTCTAAGGCCTTACAGGTGTAACACAGGTGAGCGGGGAGTATCACGTGAGCGGCTCGCAGGTAGCCGCAGCTTCAACCGCAGACTCAACAAGCCAGTGCACTGAAGACCTCGCCAACGATTGTTCTCGTCCGTTTCGCGAGTGTTGTGATATGCCTGTAATATGGCTGAACGTGCTGTTTGGTCCTGACCTTTCAATATGGCTACTCTAGGCCTCTCTAAAGTATTCATATTGGACAAATATTTCACGGAACTACAGAAGTTCTGGGAGACCGAGAAAAAGCTTCAAGGTGTGTTCATTTTGTTTGCCTTTGTGTGACTCCCGATTGTGTTGGTTATGTTGCGGCCTGGAAATTTGTGTGTTTTGTAACTGAAACGACAGTATGTACCCCTTAGAATAATGTTAGCGGTAATCAGTAACAACAATGCCTGATTTCATTTAGTAAAACTGATCTTAAGCACATCCAAGCATCGGTGTGGTAATGGCTGATAGTAAACTGGACTTAGCGTGTGAGCGATTGCCTGGAATTCCCCCAGATTTGTAATTTCAAAAAGATGCATGCTATAAACGTGCGTTGCTCAAGTGATAAACATTATAATCATAACCTCACTTTTTTATCATGCTATTTAACAAGTGGAAAACGATCGGAACTTACCTATCTAGATTTTTTCCACAGTTGGCAATATGTAAATTAACTCTCCTTCCTAAAAACAATGATAGAAACAACAAGGTGCTGAATAAATGAGACGAAATAAATACACGTGATATAGTCACTTTGTTAAAATCAGTTCAACAAAATTCGTCCAATAACTACTTACGAGTAATATTGGTTTGTTGTCAAGAAAAGAACAACATGAAATCGAAATTGAACAATTCTCTAAGTTTTTTAATGACCTAAATAACTGAATTGTTTATAAAACTGTCTATAAATATATATTTCTGTGGTAGTAATCATAAGAGGTACATAAAACCAAAAGATCCTAAAGAATAACGGTCTTCACAAAATTGACAAAATTAAATGCTGTTATAAAACTTATTCTTCTTATGAAGAACTTACTTTGCTATCTTTGTACAAGCCTAGAGCTCTTGATAAAACCTAGATACTTTCTTGGTATTATAAAGCTAAATTTGCCTTAAATAGTGACCTTTACAACTGTTTTATTTTAAAATGTTTGGATATTTTAATTTATTACCTGCATTTATTACCTGGTTACCTGCAGTAAAGCAAAAAATGTTTTGTACTTATAGAAGAAAACATGAGCTATGGAATGTGTCAGATTGATGAAATTATTTTATACAGTATATCCCAAAATATTGGAATAAGATTCATTTTTTTTTCCAGTTGAAATTTAAAAAAAATCGCCGAAACAGGTCATTTAGGGAATAGAAATTGTCATTTTTCTGCAATATTTTCTAAATGTTTGACAGACCAATAACATTATGTACCGTCATCTTTTTTAATAGGACTCTCTATATTTTATAGTATAAATAAATAGCCCTTCTAAATACGAATTCAGCAATATAAGGTTATACGTATTTTTTTGTCATATATGTCAAAAAAAATGTAAAAAATTGTCTTTTATGTCTTACTGACGACTGTTTCAAACAATCATAGTATCTTCTGTACTTTAAAAAACGTACCTACTCTTTATTAACCTTTTTCTACTTATTTGAAAGCTTTTTTTCTCCTAAAAAACACATCGATAAACACATAAACGTGAATCGTTTTAGTTCCAATTCATTTGTTGTTAAATTATTTTGAAAAATGTTTACCCGTTTAAGCGAAAACAAAAACAATTGAATTATGATTGGATGCGGAGATAGATCCGTAGTCATCAAGAGGTATGTGACTTATTTCACCACAAGGATCCAGACCAGAGAATTACTCGAGCTGCAATAAGTAAAGTATCCGAAAACTTTGAAGAAACTGGTAGTATAAAAGATTTACCTGGATCAGGATGGCGAAGAACGGTAAGCGAAAATGACCATCAAAATGAGACGGTCGCCGTTACTGAAAATCCTCACTCATCCATTAGATCTGTCTTAACCAACTTCAACTTCGAAGTCCTCAGTTCACAGAACTCTGAAGTATCAAAAGTGGTATCCTTACAAAGTTAACGTCTTACAAGAACTATGGGCAGATGACAGTCGGATGATTACAGTTTTGCGAGGAAATTAGAAATTTACTTGAAAGACAACCCAACTTAAAAAATAACATCATTTTCACTGATGAAGAAACTTTTTGCTTAAACGGAACCGTTAACAGGCAAGATACTAGGTATTGGAGCCCAGAAAATCCGCATTGGATGTAAGAAAAGCATGCACAACGGCCGGAAAAAGTGAATGTTTGGGTTGGAATTGTAGGAAATCGGATACTGGGGCCTTATTTCTTTGAGGGTTTGGATTTTTTGCGATTTCAGCTGATTCCAGCACTGGAATAAATTTTTCCTAACCCTAATGAGCATGATATGCCTCCTGGTGATGTCTGGTTCCAACAAGATGCCCCTCCACATTTTCGCCTCGATGTAAGAAATTACCTTAATGAAGTTTTCCCAAATCGATGGATAGGCAGAAGAAGACCGTTTGAATGGCCACCACGCTCCCTTGACTTAGCCCCACTCGATTTTTTTTTGTGTGGTTATCTAAAAAGTAAAGTGTATGTGAACATCACTATCGAAGAATTGAAAAATCGTATCAGAGAAGAAGTTCGAAACATAACACCGAATGTTATTCAAAATGTAGTTGACAACTTGATATCACCGAATTGGGCATTGTACAATGGTTAATGGGGACCACTTTGAACATTTGCTGTTATAAAATATTAAGTAGTACCTACTAAATTATTGTTTTCATTTAATTCCTCCATTTTTTGACAACTATGACAAAAAAGCAGGTATAACCTTATATCGCGGAATTCATCTTTAGAATTTATACTATAAAATATAGAGCATCCAATTAAAAAAAATGTCGGTAATGTCTATCAAACGGCTCAAAAAATAGAAAACATTGCAGGAAAGTGACAATTTCTATTTACTAATTGATCTATTCCAGCGATTTTTTTAAATCTGAAATGGAAAAAATATGAATTTTGTTTCATCATTTTGGGACACACATTACATTTTTAAGAAGTCAGTTAAATAATGGTACTGTTGAATCGATAAACAGTTTAACTGTTAAAATGTATCACTCTAATCATATTTAAAATTTTGTTAAAATTTTCGTTTTATAAAAATTTATTGGCTTCCAGAAATGTTTTCATTATTAACGTATTATTGTATTATAGTAAGGCTCCTATAAAGAACGTTAATTAACCTCGTTTCATTGTTTTTAGAAAACATTTACCTAATATGGACTATTGTATTTTCAACTCTATATCAAAGGTATTGAACTATTCAAACAAATTCGATTTTTTCCCTAGAAAAGTCTTATCAAATGAAGTGAACCATACTTGTCTGCTAAGGCAAAACATTATATGTAAAAAAAATTGATTAGCTTTTCCCGCTTTTTCTCGTAGAATTTTCAGATTGTTTCTATTTTATTTAGTTTTTGTAGGCCTAAGTAAATCAATTTAAACTTAATAAATTCAATTACTCATAGTTAAAAACTAAATGTTTGCATAGGTAAGTCAATTTGTACTTGAATAAAATCTTATAATCCTGATTTAAGACTAACCTGTTTTATGTCAGAACCTGTGCAAGACCATTTTGTGTTGTTGTGGTCTTATTAATGTTCCCTCTTAAATTCCTAACCTATTTGTGGCATTGAAGTCGGTCGATTATAACACATTTGAAAACTATTTGAATAGTTTATAGTTTTTTAGTTGCTGGAATCGATTAAATTTTCATTCGAAGGCTTTATTAAACACAACTATTTTGTTAAGTCCATTCGCTGTTAATAACAAAACTCCTACAAAACTAGAGCCAGAGGTTGTCCAAAAGTCTTTATGGTTACGTAAAGCATACTATAGTTCATTTCCGGTAAGTTTGCAATGAAGTATCAATGCGAAGCGGTACAGTGTTGCCAGGTTGTAAATTTTTTCAGGATATTTAAAAAAAAACAATTTTAGACAGCGAATCCAGTTTGTTAGAAATGTAATCTAGAATCACATCCTTCATAAAACTATTCATTATAAAATAAGAGCGAGATTAAACAACATTTGAATTGCTACTTGAGCTTGCATATGTTTATATTAAAAACAAATGGTAAACCGTATAAATAATGAAGTAATTCCATCGATTCAAATGCCTTTGTCATTCGTAAACATCACCAACTGAAGGTAGACGTTTGCAATAATAATTCCTAGAAAAATGACCGTAATATATTCAAGTCACTGCAATAGAATTAATTGAAATGTGTTCTAGTGCGCTATTAACAGCAGTTTTATTGCTGTGTAAATTGTATGGTGTACTAATAACAAAAGTAAATTTATCGAATTTCCAATACATAAGTTTAAGAATCAAGAAATATTCAAAATTATTCACCTCTTCAAGTGAAGTGTAAGGATAAGTATAGAAACTAAAGTTATATTGTACACCAATATTTTGCATCGAGAAACGTCCGTTCCAAAGGACAGACTTTGTGTAAAACAGTTTAAATTTAAATATCTTCTTCAGTCTAACGGTCACCTATAGGAAAATGAATTTGAGACTGTTGAAGCGTGCGTACGTGTGATTCTCAGCTGGTCCATTGTTCCACCTTTAACAGTACTTGTGGGGATATACGTGACATTAGTTACTAAAGAGAAATTAGATATTTTGACCAAGAGTCTATGAAACAAGATTTCTAAAATACAAAATTTGATTTTGTTGATAGGAAAACAGTATTCGGAAAATATTTGAATTATCTTAAAATTGAATTATACCGGGTGATTCACTTTTTATGATTAGGACTTTAACCATCTATAAGATCTCGTCAAAGTACTAAATATAAAACAAATGGCTTTCATGTTTAAAGGAAAAATAAATAAAAACCAAAAAAAAATGTTTTTTCAAGAGCTTATATCCCTAAAAGGAAGCCTTTGGAAGACAAATTATATACTTCAATATGACATTATTTCGACGAGATCTATCGATGGTTAAAGTCCTAATCATAAAAGGTGAATCGCTCTGTATAGAAAACATCTCACGTACATGTAAAGGGTTACCATATAACATTCTCCATCTTTTTTACCTTTATATCTAAGAAAAAATCGTAAAGATTAAAGTTTTAGGAAATTTTCTTGTGACTGAAGCAATTTGCAAGCATTTCGAAGATATAAACCAATCTTTGTTTTTTTTTATAAGGAACACC